CTGGCCTCGAACACAGAAAGATCCTCCTGCCTCTACCTCGCGAGTGCTGGGATTAAAGGCGTGCGACCTGCGTTTGCCTTTTGAGAATTAATGTGAATTTGTCGCACACACCCAAAGGCTTACTTGTACTCCAGAGTCTTAGATCCTGTGAGTGAGTTATATCGAATGCAGTTGGTCTCCTTAATATTTCAATATCCATGGCATTCAGACCTGTTAGCACTCGCCACTTGCCGTGGGCCACTTAGAGAGAATCCTAATTGAAAATCCGAAGGTGCTGTGTGGTTTTCAATCAGGGATATAGACTAGTTACTGAAACATGTAGAAAGCTGCCGTGTGTGTGTGTGTGTGTGTGTGTGTGTGTGTGTGTCTAGTTATTGAAAAGTGTAGAAAAGCCGGACTGTAGTGCAAAGAGAAGAGTGAAAATGGGTGCTGAGCTGGGCCTCATAGCCCATGCCTGTAATGCCACACTCCGGAGGTATTCTAGGCTACATAGTAAGTTCAAGCCAGGAACCCTGTGCTGCAAGAAAGCCTATTTCAAAAAGGAAACCAAAAATAATAATGATAGCAAAGCCTGGAGAGATGGCTTAGCAGTTAAGGGCACTTGCTGCTTTTGCAGCAGATGTGGGTTTATTTCCCAGCACCCACATGGCAATGCACAACCGTTTGTAACTGCAGTTCAAGGATCCTACAGCCTCTTCTGGCCTCTAGCAGTATCTGCATGCACGTGGGGCACAGTCATACATATGGGCACTCAACCCATAAAACACATAAAAGAGAAATTGAGTGCTGGAATTCCCTATTAATCTAATAGTTAATGGGCCCTATCTCCCTACTTAAGCTAATTCCAGCATCTTTCTGTAATTTTTAACCAAACGAGGCTGGGTTCATATGGTCCCAAACACTTCAAATAAAAGGATATTATTACCTTCCTTAGAGCCCCCAATCCTAATAGTGTTGTACTTTTCACTTAGGGAGGAAACCACTTACTATAAAGTATTAGTACCTGGACTGAGTTCTCCTAACTTTATATCACACACCTATTGACCACATTAACTCTTCTGTAACACTTTTCTTTGCCTTCTTAAAGTAATATTTTTGTTGTTGTTTTATTTTTTTGTTTGTTTTTTTGAGACAGGGTTTTTCTATGTAACAGCCCTAGATGTCTTGGAACTCGCTCTGTAAATCAGAGACTGACCTCGAACTCAGAAAGATCCACCTGCTTCTGCTTGGGATTACTGAACACAAGCTATAAGCAAGCTGGACTTTGAGGCAGAAGCAGAAAGACTGTGTGAAGCCCGCCTGAACTATGGTGACGCCTTGTCTCTACAGCCGAGGATATACTTCTAAGAGCGTTTCCGTAGTGTACACATGTTCGATCCTTAGCCACGAGCCAGTACTCCTAAGTACTGGAAAGTGAAAATGGTTTTAATTCACCCTCAGTGTGCTACATATGTTTTTCACTTAAAAAAGCAAGGTTACCATATGAGAAAATGGTAGCTTTCCTCCACCTCCCCACCCCAGCATGAGGACAGGACCTGCGTAACAGGGCAGCAGCCAGCATCTGTAACTCCAGCTTAGAGGGACAGTGATAGGTTCATAGACACTGACTTCCAGGGTGAGTTAAAGGGCAGGCCCACCCGGCGTGGGTGGCACAATCAAACGGGGTGGGATGAAAAGGAGAAACAAGGCACAAACTTGTCTGCAACTCTGGTTTTTATTGAGACAGATTTTCGCTAAGCTGTCAGAGCTGGCCATGAAGTTGATAACCTGTCTTAGTTTCCCCAGGAGCTGGCATTACAGTCCTATACTGGCATTGAAGTGATACTCATGCAGAATCAGAGCTCACAAAGGAGCACCTGCACCTATGAAACTTGTATCATTCACAAGTCTACTTTTAGTGAACTACTTATCAAGCCTTATTCTGGATCAAATGAAAATGAAGCTTTCTGAAAGAAAGTTCATTCCCAGACTCTTTGAGCTGAAAGAATAGAGGTAACCAAACACATGTGCTATGTGGAGTCACAGGCAGTAAAACTCACCCAGGGAGCCGTGGCAGAAACGCCTGTTACACACAGCTCTTTTGGGATCCTGGGATGCAAATAGAGCAAGTCTGACTGGTTCATGTTCCCTGAACAAGGGCTGGACTCTGTGGCATTGCTGTCACGTCCTACACACCTAGGCCTGTTCTAGGCCAGTGGTGGCAGTTTAGGAGGTCTCTTCTGGAGCTCCAACCAGCATGAAATCTTTTTTATTTCTTTTCAAATATTTATTTTTAATTACGTGTATATGGGGGGTGCAAAGATTTATTTTTAATTATGTGTATATGGGGGGTGGACATTGAATATAGGCACCCGTAGAGGCCAGTGCTGTCCTTGTGGGTGCTGGGAACCGAAAGAACTTTTGTTAGTTCTTAGCCCTCGGGCCATACCTCCAGCCCTGCATGAAGTCTTAATGCTGCCTTCCTGTTGAAGTGTCAAGGGGTGACAGAGCAGTCATGAAGGGGCAGGTAAGAATGGTTGTCAAGAGAACCTAGACAACAGTGAGGACCCCAAGAGAGACATACATGGATCTAATCTACATGGGAAGTAGAAAAAGACAAGATCTCCTGAGTAAATTGGGAGCATGGGGACCATGGGAGGGCTGAAGGGGAAGGGGAGCAGAGAAAAATGTAGAGCTCAATAAAAAATTAATTAAAAAAGATAATAACATTAGGGCAAAGTAAAAAAAAAAAGAACGGCTGTCAAGAAGTCCTGGTGGCCTCTTCTAAAGGGCCTACTGGTTATCCATTCTTTGAGGATATTGGCTGGAATCCATATTGAAAATCAGCTGAACCTAAAATTGCTGAATTGTAGAGATGAATAAGAACCTGAAAACACCAAAATAAAACCTATTATTTTATATGCTAACTTAAAGATAAAAATAGATAAGGACCAAATCTAAGATGTCAACAGCCATAAGTGGTCCTGGACAGAAAGGAACCTAGGACGGCCTTGGCCAGACACTTTAAAGCCCACTGAGCATTTCTCTGAAATTCCAAGACATCAAATGTATTCATCAAGATTGGCTGATAAATGAGCAATATCCTTCCTCTATCGGGGTAGGGCCCCGACAGTTAAGTTGTGAAATTTAACTGTTGCTTTCAAGTGAATTCACTATATCGCTAAAAGTTCTTGGGGTAGAGTATTTCTAAGTCCTAGGGACATTTGGGGCAGTAATAGTGGCGTTCACAAGCCCACTTCTGTGCCTACATTAAGATTGAGGTTCCAATAAAATAGGTTCAGCTTCCACTCAGATGGGTACCCAAGGGTGCCAGGAAGGATAGGTGCCCGGCCACATGTGTCCTGTGGGTAAAGATGGGTGCCACACCTATCAAAGGAAGCAGATGGGGTCCTCAGGATTTCAACACAGTGAAGACTGTCTGAGGAATGCTTCCAGTATGTCTGCTCACAGCGGCTAAAGGGAGAATATACAAGGTTTGAGTCCAGATGAGGTTGAGTGGGGTCCTAACCTAGATCCCCACTGAACATGTAGTCTGCATGTTTTTAGGATTGAGCCCGTTTAATTAGTGGGGTTTGGACAAGCTAGGATGCCAGTGAAGACTGCCTGGTTTTCAGGTTTGGAGATTTTCACTGGCCATTCCTGATGTTGACAACAGGAATCTCAGTGTAGGTCCACGGACAAGATGTGGAGTTAAGAGGGTTTGCCTACAGTTAGTACTCTTTCCAGGTTTAACTGGATTGTCCATAGCTGTCCTGGTCCTGAAAGAAAATCCCTCAGACTTTTGGCTTCTATCTAACTGGCAAGACTGGTGCAGGGTTCATTATGCACCTTTCTGTCAAGCGACCAAGTGTGACCAAAAAGATGACACCTTTGGAAGCTTCCTGCAGTTACTTTAGCACAAATTCTAAAACTGGTTTTGTTGAACTCTAGGGTTTCACAGTTTTGCAAAATGAGTAATTCAGGGGTGCAATGAAGGGAAAACAGGAGTCTTAATGTAAGAGATGGGCATGGTGGCACACGCCTGTATGCCAGCACATGGGAGGAAGGGGCACAAAAGACCAGTTTGAGGCCAGCCTGGGCTGAGATTCTCTCAAGAAAACAAGACAATTTTTATAGCACCCTCCATGAGTTAAGGAACACAAGTAAGCAGCCTATTAATAAAATAATCAGAGACCTAAGACTTAAGTTTGTACTGTGGCTTTTTTTTTTTTTTGGTTTTTTTCGAGACAGGGTTTCTCTGTGGTTTTGGAGCCTGTCCTGGAACTAGCTCTTGTAGACCAGGCTGGTCTCGAACTCACAGAGATCCGCCTGCCTCTGCCTCCCGAGTGCTGGGATTAAAGGCATGCGCCACCACCGCCCGGCTGTACTGTGGCATTTTAAGGAAGCTCCAGAAACTAACATCCCAGTGAGTCTACAGCAATAGACTGACCCCTGGTATTAAAAGGGGAAACGTGACCCTAATATCTCCAAACCATATCCATGGTACAACTCTCTAAAGGAGAGGTACATCTTACTGAAGATTCCTGACAAGGGCCTACAGCTAAATGGCAAGAAACCTACAATTTCCCAGCTATTGGATCAGATGTCATGAAATCCTCAGGAAATCACTCTCAGAATGCAGGCTGGAAGGGAAGACATGAAAGATATGACAAGAAGTGACAGGTTTGGAGAGTGTTAGGCACAGCCTCAGTAGGGTAAACAGATCCTGCTTCTCAGTGGCTGCCAAGTCCAGAAAAGCCTAAAAAAGAGGAGCCAATGTGCAGATTTGCCTGCCAAAGGGTATCAGGAATAACTCTCCCACAGAGACTACTAGTGATGGTAATTGAACAGCTGGGGAACCTTTCAACACCATCAAGGTTGCCCTGACCACAGGCGATGAACTGTTTCCATGACTGAAGGAGAGTCCTAACTCAGAGACAGGTAGTCTGAGTTCCCTTTTTTGGGCCACCCAATGTTGTGGTTTGGAGTAGCAGGCAGTAAAAGAACTCACCAAGTCAGAACAGTTAAAACAATGTTTATTGTATACTACAAATGAAACACAGGCCAGACAGCGGCACAATCGGATCTGCAAGAACAAGCTGGCTTTTATTGCAGCTACCCTCATTTGGCACAACTTCTGAAATGTTTAAACAAGGACACTTCTGACTAGTGACTAGCCCTCTATCGGGAAGCAACAATTCATTTTGATTGGCAGCCATAATATTCCAACATGGCACATCTTACTCCTGGTTTTTCTCTAGAATGCAAAAGATTTCACATTCATAGCCACAAAAAGTTGGGTGGGGGAGATGACTCAGTACTCACTCTTCCAGAGAGTTCAGCTTACAGCACCCACCCCAGGCAGCTCACCACTCCAACTCCAGCTCTATCTGATCTGAGGGCACTGCAAAATACCATTACAAATAACTTTCTTTGCAAAAGAAAAAAATTTACAGAGTTCAATTCCTTTGACAATTTTAATTCCTTTCTCATTTCGGAAAAGGGTAAAGTTTTGTACAAAACTATACAAAGCATCCAGATGTTCCATAATCACTTGCATCATGTTTACATTTCACTAAAACAGCATTCTAATGTTCTGATTACTATTTTGATTTTTAAAATTTACATTTTCTTATTGTGTATATGTGATCTGAAGATAACTTTCAGGAGTCCGCTCTCTTCCACCTCGTGGGCTCCAGGAATTAGTTCAGGCCATCAGGCTTGTGTGAAGAGCACTTTCTTAGAGCAGGAGAAACGCCCCTTTCTGAACAGGCCCTGCAGAATGAGCGAATAAAGTATTTATTCGACAGCATCTACAGGCTTTGTCCTGCAACATTTACAGGCTGTTTAGCACAGGTCTTTTTACTTTTCCATCACCAGCAGAAACAAAGGTTTTTTTTTTATTTCAAACCAGCTGTTTCATAGATTTTATAGTTTTGCTTCCCAATTGATCTTAGTTTTCTCACCCCCCCCCCTTTGTGCCCTCTGAACTCTTCTAAGAGAAGTAATTTTCTTACATATGGAAACAGGAGTGGCACCGGGGAAGGATTCTTAGTGGAAGGAGCCAGAGCATCAAACACCAAATAGTTTTGCTCTTGTCCCCCCTTTGCAATTTGTCCCTTTAACTACTAGACCATGTCTCTGATTACTCCTGACTTGTTTCCACAGAAGTGACATTCTTCGTTTAGGAAGAGACAGAGTTTCCCTTCAGCAGTTAGCAGGTCTAGCTACTCCCCTCACCCATTTTGTAAAACACCAGTCCATCTGGTCCTGCATGGCCATTAGCAAACTGTCGCTAAGAGATCAAAGAGGACAGTCCCTCTACTACCATCCCAGCAGTGGTTCCTAATCCGATCCCAGAGCTGCGGCCTGGAACTAGTTTTCTTCCACATATAAAGTGCCCAGGTATGGATGACAGGACAGGACACAACCCAAGGTTTGCTTACACTGATCACCAGTCAGATGTCCTACCTGCTGGTTGTGTCCCCTCAGTTATTTCTACATATCAGAGAGAGTCTAGGGAAATCCCAGGTAGCTGAAAGGCTGCGGCAGAATTAGAGATGAAAGCAACCTAGTAACTTACAAGTTCCTAACTTTAAATAAATAACATCTTAAAATCCCTTACCTTGGCCGGGCGATGGTGGTGCACGCCTTTAATCCCAGCACTCGGGAGGCAGAGGCAGGCGGATCTCTGAGTTCGAGACCAGCCTGGTCTACAAGAGCTAGTTCCAGGACAGGCTCCAAAACCGCAGAGAAACCCTGTCTCGAAAAACAAAACAAAAAAAAAATCCCTTACCTTATATAAATCTTCAAATTATTGAATAAATTTGCAAATGGCACTCTTAAGCAAAACATCCTTTTCTTTCCTACAAAAAAAAACCCACATCAACAGACAAATCAATGCAGAAGTTACACTGTTATTTAAATCATGACTTTGCAAGGTCCTCATATACATTAATCACACAAGTTAGGATGTGAACAGCAGCGGAGAAACCTAATCACTATCTGTGTCTGCTTTTTTTCTTAAGTTCTACTTAGAAATGTTTTGTTCTTGTTGCCTGAGCCCTTTAAAATGTAAATACATGGTTTTATAAATAAGTACCAATTATCTAATATAAACATGTCAGAAAAAATTCATAGAATTTCAAATATATTATTATATTTATTTGGTTCAGACAATCTCCTGTCTCCTAAGTGGTGTTTTCTCATCACCAAGCAAGCCTTATATGGGAAAACACACCTTATCATACCACTTACTCTGTGCTTTAAGTGTGATACATTTTCTTAAGTCTATTTATTATAGGTAAGAGTGGCCTGCATGTGTACCATGTGCATGCCCGGTGCCTGAAGAGATGGCTTTAGATCCCCTGGGATTAGAGTTGCACACAGATGGTTGTAAACTGCCATGTCAGTGCCAAGAGCTGAAACCAGGTCTCCCAAAGAGCAGCTGGTCCATCTCTTCAACCCCTTTAAATGTGTGCAATATTTTTAAAGGTTTCCAACGGTCGAGAACTAAGATCTTCCTAGCAGATGGAGCCCATCCTGCAACCCCCATGCAACTGAGGATAGCTATGAATATAATCCAACTTACTTAAACCGTTAAGAATCATGTGTTTCTTTCATTTTTAGCAACTCAAGCATCAACTTTGAAGGTGACAACATTATGCCTCAACTTCAAAGTCAAGTCTTATCCATAAGTAAATCACTTCTGTGTCCAAGGAAGAGTAGTGTACTTGTGACAGCTGTCTTGGGTTGCAGCCTGACTAGGCCAGGAACAACTAAAATCCAGCAGCTGGGCACACCTGAGAGCTCTTCTGGGTGGGAAGGCCACACAGAAGCCTTTGCTCCCACCAGCTTGCCCCACCTCTTGCTGGTATCAGAACCTACTTCCAAAGTTTCCCCGCCACACTGGAGCTGCCGAGACACCCAGATTCCTGGCCTCTCCACTGTTTGCTAGCTAGACCACAGTCCCTTACGTCCTCCAGAACCAACCCTCTTTGATAAATGTCATCACTTCGGTTCCTCGAAGAACCCTGACTGACACAGCGTTCTACAGATGAGGAATATTCTGATTCCCTGACCGTCCACCTTGCTCAGAGCTCACAAAGGGACAAATAAGCCACAAGAAGAACAAGTACCACACTGCACACAGCAGCTTTGAGGGAAACGTGAACATACTTCAGTAACGTTAAATATTTGTATAACTGAGCCAGGCGGTGGAGGCGCATGCCTTCAATCCCAGCACTCAGGAGGCAGAGGCAGGAGGATCTGAGTTTGAAGCTAACCTGGTCTACAGATCAAGTTCCAGGACAGGCTCCAGAGCTACACAAAGAAACCCTGTCTCTAAAAATAAACAAAAACAACAAACTGTCAGTACTTCAGACAATCAACAGGCCAGTGAGAATACCTAGCCCTGGGTACCTGACAGAGAATATAATGTCTGTCACTTTAAACCACCGATTTTAACTAAATGGCTCAATTCATATTCAAAAAGGGAAATATAACCTCAGAAGACTTGGAACTATCTAAAATTGGTAACCAGAAACCCCTGATGATCTAATACTTTCTAGAGAAAGATCAGAAGCAGAACACCTCGTGACTATCTAAGTTACAGAACACAGAGCATGGAAGGCGCTAGTGGAACTAGCCAGGAATCCAAAGGACCACAGAGCAGAGGCTCAGCAGGCACAGCACTAAAATCCTCCAAAGTTGGTGGTGCCCCATAGGGCCACTGTGGGAAAACCAGTGCTGTATGAAAGCACAAGCCGCAGCAAAGGAAGCACAGAGCTAGCTCAAGTCTCAGCTGGGCTTGCTGGAGATAGTCAAGAGGACGGGGCTTCCGCTCCTGCCACCCACATAGCAGCTCCACAACTGTTTGCAGCTCAGGGGATCTGATGTCCTCTTAGCCTTCGCAGGCACGCATGCATGCACACAGCAAGGACATACACGCAGGTGAAACACCTGTCACTAGACAGGTGACCTGAGACCAAGGTCACAGAAGGAAACAAACTCCAGCTGTTCTCTAACCTCCACACATCAGCATGTACACAGTAAATAAATGGAATAATTTTTACCATTTCAAAAATAGGAAAGTAAGATTTCGCCAAAGCCTCTAGAATTCCAGTTTTACTTCATAATCCATTTCAGGTCAGGGTGTATCTCCCAGAATATTTAATACAGAAAACAGATTACTATACCTTTCCTGTGTATTTCATATCACCTTCCAACGCCACACATCTCTTCCAGACACCACCCTTAACACGATCCCTGAAAAAGAGATTTTCTTTTAAATCACTGGACAAGGGGCAATGCCTGTTTCAAGAGCACCTTTAGCAGAGCTTACATATCCTCATTAATTCCTCGGTAATCACAGCGGCTCATTATGTGAACAGCAGTGAAAGGTTTAATCATCGGATATGAAGCTACTAGAGGAAAACAGTAGAGACCAAAACCCTTGATAGAAATCTGCAAGTGCTCTAATACCTGGAGCAGACACCGGCTAAGCCTATGACATAATTACATGTGTTTTGCAATTTCTCATTTGTAATTAGTAATTACAAAAACACAGTCAAAATTCAGATAAGATAAGGAACAGTAGCAGTGTGTCAGGCTATCAGTAACCCCTCACCTGTACTAGAAAATCCACAGCAGCAGGCGTCCAGTTGGTTAAGCATTGTAGATGCTAACCTGGCTTTCTGCTCAGCTGAACCCCCTCCCTTTTTCGGCATGACTATCCTAGGTTATACTCCTTTGTGGTAGGGATTAGCCCCCACACGCTTATCTATCTGCATGCTTTGCCCTCAGCTGAGCTGTGAGGGAAGATTAAAAGGTTATGTAGCCTTGCTGGAAGAGGTAAGGCAGCAAACTTAGGCTTTTCAAAAGCTCTCTGTTGGCACATCAGAATGTAAAGCTCTCAGCAATCACTCAGCACCATGCCTTCCTGCCTGGCTCCCCGAGCTCCAATTAAATGGCTTCTTTCTTAAGAGCTGCAGTGATCGTGGTGTCTCTTCACAGCAATGGAAACCCTCTGCTATGGTAGTGTCAGAGTGCTCATCAATACCTCACGTTCTCTTAATCATTTCACATAGCTTTCTTCAATTTTAATCTGTGTATTTTATGTTTATGTATAGTCATTGTATCTGTGTGTGTCTATGTACCACCTGCATGCCTGATGCCCAGAGGCCAGGTGTTGGGTCCCCTGGAACCAAAGTTACAGCTACACGGATGCTGGAAACAAACCTGGGCCCTTTACAAGACCAGCAACTGCTCTTAACCACCGAGCTGTCTCGCCGGTAACATAAGCAGTTACGTCTTACTTTTGAGACAAAGTTTAATTGTGTAGCCCAGACTAGCCTGAAATTCTGCATGTTTGAAGTCCACTCCAACCTCACCACCACTGGGAAGGGCGGAGTCTCAAGGAGACAACAAGACTCAGAGGAAGCAACACAGGCGGTGTACAGAGTAAAGGTAATAAAGCTATGAGACAGAAAGTAGATTAATAGAAATGGGTTAATTTAAGTTATAAGAGCTAACTAAAAACAAGCCTAAGCCATTACCCAAGATTTCATAATTACTAAGTCTCCTTGTTATTCGTTATCTGTGAGCTGCAGTCCAGCTAGTCCTCCCCTCCCTCCTTTACATGGGTTCTGGAACTGATTTGTGCCACCAGGCCTGTGCCCATGCTCTGACCAGAGCCGTCTTGCTCACCCTGGCTTTTTGAGCCTGGCTTTTGTTCACTGAGCTACAAATTGAAGCCAAAGCTTTGTGCAGTGCCAGGTGGCCAACTACATGAAGATTTCCCCGGCAACAAACATTACGATAGAAGCACGTGTGCCAAGAAAAGAAACTCATCCTAGTGTGCCTGTGAGACAGGGCCTGTCTGGCTGTGCGCTGCTGGCTGGCCTGAACTTGATTCACCTACCTCTGCCTCTTCCCCTAGGTTTCTTTCTCACAAGCTTCAGGGAAGGAGGCTCACTACAAGCTACCAATTCGCACCTATAAACATGTGACCAAAATGGAACTTTAATCTCAGTTGGTAGCAAGGGGGGGACAGGAATTTGCAAAGCAATTCCAGTAACACAATCTAGAGAAACAAATGGACCCACACTTGTCCACACTCTAGGCATCACTATTAATAAACACTCAAAAAATAAAAACCAACCATGTAAACGCCCGGCAACGGATGTCTTACACATACAAGGTTACACCCAGGCAATAAAAAGGTCATCTTCCAACACTGTTTTACAGAGAAAACTAGCCACAAAAATCCTATGCACTAGTTTATTATTCCGTCTCAAACATACAGAACAGGTAATCTATACGGGCACAAAGCTGCTTCTAGGGACGAAAGGGCAGGGAGTTTCCTGGGCTAGAGGTAGAGCGGCGCTTCCCCAGTGTGCATGACGCCCTAGCAACCTCTACAACCCCGTTAACCGGGCTTAGCTGGAGCACACCACTGGGGAGGTGGTGGGCAGCCAGCCATCTTAGGCTACATACAAGCCTAATGGTAGCCTGGACTACACGAGGCCCTGCCTTAAAAGGAATAAAGGTGTCTTTAGAGGAGACGTAAAACTTCTAAAACTGACCCAAACCTTTATTCCCAGCCTTTTGGGGGACACATTCAGAATATTATCAGAGAACTGTAAAAGTTCTAAAAAAAAAAAGTGCAGGTTGGTGGAACTGCCGAAAGCACGCACAAGACCCGGGATTGAATCTCAGACGTGCTGGAAGCTGCTTCTTTGAGGCTATACTTCTGCACTGAACTGTAGATTTAACTGTGAGGTGAAATAACTCACTCAAGAAAACTGACACAAAGCCCTGATCTTAGCTATCAAGTAAATGATACACCACGTCCTCCCCCAGCAGCCGGTGTCCCCAAAGTTCATGGGCTTTCTTTTAAAATTAAAAGAGCCGGGCAATGGTGGCGCTCACCTTTAGTCCCAGCAATTGGAAGGTTGAGGCAGGCGGATCTCTATGAGTTCGAGGCCAGTGTGGCTGGGTGAACAATGCCTCGATGATTTGCTGACTTCAATCAAGAGTAAGTCGGCCGGGAGGGGGGGGGGGGGGTTCCAGTTTGATTTGAAGGATATAAAGAAATGAAACCTTTACATGCTTCTATAGCTGGCCTACACCATTATTCAGAAAAGAGGTAAAGAATACGCTACAGATCTTGAAAAAATAAAACCACACCATCAGCTGGCCGGTTTTTTCGTTCTGTAAAGTGTAAATAAGAGGAACTTGACTTGTTTTCTTCTAAGATCTTCTCAACCCTGAAAGCTATCCACGATGCCCCATTCCCAAACCCGAACAATGCTCTGCCTGCGCCTTCTCTCATGTCTCCGATGCTGGGCAGCTGCCATCGCACTGAAGGACACAAGGGCCCACGAGACCTTACCTTCTTTCATGAACTAACTCATCGAGGCAAAACGTCTTCAGAAAAAGATTCGCTAAATTAAGATTCCGGGACATCCTCGATCAAGCTCCTGTGGCATCACATGCATTGAGCCAAGTCACACCAAAAGCTCCTGTGTCACCTCCGAATCAGTGAGCTACAAAAGAAGGTACGAGGCAAGGGTTTAAATCTTTTGTCCCAGCTTGGTTTGCAACATTCAGCCGATATCGCGCCCTGTCCCTACCTGTCTCCTGGTGTCGTTCTCCAATCGGTCCTCCGGAGCGCGCACCACCATAGCCAAAGCCAGCTCGGCGTCGGGTCTATTCCCGCCTCTCTACTATCCATTACAGCGCTCGGCGAAAACGCGATGGCGCCGGATTGCACGGAGCAAGCGAACACGCCACAGGAACCACAGAGGTCTAACAAAAGAACTTCGGAGCAGGGAGAAGCATGGCCCACCGCACGTCTGAGAGGCTCCGGGCCTCTCCGATTGGCTGCTGCGACACGATGTGGCCTGCGATTGGCTAGATGGTCGAGCGCGGCGCCTACGGGAGACAGGATTGGAGGCCCGCGCATCCAAAGGCCGCTCTTCCGGTCCTCCAGCCAAGCACTCGGGCGGAACCGAGTTTACCCCAGAGCGAGGTCTCGCGGGAGCTCCACAGGGCAGGGTGGCCGGAAGTTGCACTGCGGAGGACCACGGCCCCGGCGAGTCCGCGTGGAACATCGCGACCGGTCCTCGGGCCTCCGAAGGAAGCGCAACCACCGTACCACTGCACGGCTGCGGGACTGAAAGGGTGGGGCGGTGGCACTGAGCGTGGCACCGGTGGCTGTGCACAACCGGAAGTGGGGCGGGGCGCGGCAGCATCTAGAGACCTGTCTAGGGCGCAGTGTTGACCGGTCTGAGTGAGGTTCCTCCAAAGACTTTCGTTTGCCGTTTTTGAATTTAAAGTGAGGCTGTAGGCGGCTGGCGTGGTTGTGAGCGCCAGTAATCACAGCCTTTCAGAGGTGTGGTAGGAAATTCCCGAGTTGGGGTCCATAATGTGAACCCCGGTTTCTGGAAGTCATTCATACCTTGTTGAAGGCATACCGAGGAGAAAAGTAGGACCTTTTGTGTTTCTGGATGATGTCCCCCTGTGTAGATCAAGCAGACCCGAAAATATACATGCAGCCCAAGCTGGCCTTAAACATTCCTGCATTGGCTCTCGCAGACCGAGACCCTACACCATGTCCCAAACGTGTTGTTTTTTGTTTTTTGTTTTTTTTTTAAGTCACTGAAGATGACGAATTAGGCAGCCAGAGAGCCCTCAAGTTCCACCTTTCCCTACCTCCCAGCATTGGGTGTATGCACAGCACGTTTTTAATATGATCAGCTTACGGTGTCAGTGTCCACGTTTATACTATTCAGGATTCCCTTCCCACAGTAGACGAGTCTTGTCGGTCACTGTAATCCTTCACAGACATATTCCTGCCCATCCCTGGATAACTCTAGATGTGTCAATGTGACAACAAACACAAATGACCATCAAGTCCCAAATGTTATCTTCTGAACATTTCCCACTTGAATCTGCTTCTGACTCCCCTTTTCCCTGGTCCATTCCCCCCCCCCCACACACACACACACAATCTCAAGCTTCTCCATGCTAGTTAGGAGATGTGTGTGTTAGACCAGATCTGTGTGCTGCTTTGGGAAGCAACTTTCTTGGCTCTTACTAAAAATAGCACAAGATAATCTGGCTCTGGACCTATAACATTCCATCCCTCAGCAATCTTGGAAATTCAGTCAGCCTTATGGAATGTCCAAGACAGGTGAGGTTCCCCCTACCCCACCACTGGGACTTCAGTTTGTTTGGTTTTGGTGTTTGTTGCTGTTATTGTTGGCGTTAAGCTCCCAATATAGCTAAGGATGACCTAGATCTCTTGATCGATGTTTCAGCCTCCTGAGTGCTGGAATTAGATGCTGGTACCATTATATGCAGGAGCGGAGCATTTCTAACTACCTTGAAATTTCTTGAAAAACCAGATATATTTATTTCCTTACGTGCGATCAACTGGCTATTTCCTAGCTTTTATATAAAATCAACACTAGCTTCAACTTATCAAGATCCAAAATAGCCCAGGAGAGTTATACAAATTATGTTATCGTATCCTCCAACCAACTTTGTGTCATTTGGATCTCTTTCTGAGCTCAGCTCTTCATTTCTTGTAATTGCCAATTTAGGAATTCAGATGAGACTCGAGAGCAAACTGCTGAGGATAAAGGGGTTCAACAGTGTATAATGAAGTACATACTCAAAGGAGAGTAAACCATGGCCCAAGGGACCACTGGCATAAAAGCTCACTCAAGGGGTGAGAATGGACAATGGTAAGAGATTATTTTACCAGCCTACATTTTTAGGAACACTTTTATAAAAAGTCTCTACAACAGATGGTTTGTTTTTGTTCCTCCTCAGGTGATTGACAGGCCCACTTGGAGTAACTTTTAAAAGGGGTGGGGACGATGCGTATACCAGGCATAGTGGTGTATGCCTTTTGTCCCAGCATTTAGAAGACAGGCAGGTGGATCTTAAGTTCAAGGCCAGCCTGGTCTACATAGTGAGTTCCAGGATAGCCAGGGCTATGTAGATAGACCCTACTAAGTGCTGGTTATGTCAACTTGACACAAAATAGGATCATCAGAGAGGAGGGAGCCTCAACAGAAAAAAATGCCTCCAGAAGACTGTGCTATAGGCAAGCCTGTAGGACATTCTCTTAATTAGTGATTGACATGAGGCTCCAGTCTATAGTAGGTGGGTTATCACGTGACTAGTGGACCTAGGTTCCATAGAAAGCAGGCTGAGCAAGCCAATAAACAGCAGTGCTCCATGGCCTCTATATCAGTGCCTGCCTCCAGTTCCTGCTCTGCTTGAGTTCCTGTCCTGACTTCCTCCAATGATGGACCACCGTGTGCAAGTGTAAGCCAAATAAACCCTTTCCTCCCAACTTTCCCTGGGTCATGGTGTTTCATCAGAGCCTGCAGTTTTGATTCAGTTTTACACGTTGCTAACTGTGAGGGAGAGGTCCATCCTCTGTGACCTCCAGGCCTATGAATTTCTGACCAGCTACGAAACATGTATTATTTATTTTTTATAGGTAAAGACATAAATGCTTGTAGAGCTTAAAGGACAGCTAAGAAGTGAGGAATCAATTGGGAGATAGCTCAGTGGCCCTGCAAACAATGTCTGGAGTTTGGGTCCCCAGAACTTAAGTAAAACTGGGCAGAGGCTCCCAACCATCTGTAATTCCAGCCTGGGGAGCTGATGAGCTCTTCGGCCCTGTTTTGGGCACTGTTTTTTTCCTTTCCAACTACTTGCTAATAACTACATAAATCCTACAGGGACTTGATCATAGTTCTACTCAATCTATAGATAAATTTGAGAACTGGTTTAACACTAAATTGTATAAGACATGACAAACCTTTCCTTTGTTAAATCAATGTTTTCTAATTTTCAGCATATAGACTGTATTGCACACACATATTTCATATTTTTGAAGCTATTATAATTTTAAAACTTCCATTTCTTTCTCTTTTTTATTATTTTCTTTTTTCAAGATAGGGTTTCTCTGTGTACCTCTGGTTGTCCTAAAACTCGAGCTGTAGATCAGGCTGGCCTTGAACTCAAAGAGATGCACCTGCCTCTGCCTCCCGAGTGCTGGGATTAAAGTCATGTGCCACCATTCCTGTTTAAAACTCCCATTTCATAATGCTTATTTCTCGTTTATAGAAATACAATTGTCTCTTGTATACTTGCTAAATTCAGTAGTAGCTTTCATTAAAGTCGTTGATTGTTCTGTGCAAGCAAGCCCATAATCTAACCACAGGCTTCTTATTCATTTTGTCTGTGGGCCTGCTTCTACCCCTGCCTTATTAAAGAAAGGACCTTCAGGAAGTAATAAATAGTAATGTCTTGTTCCCAGTAACATAGGGAAAACACCTTGACTTCACCATGAGTGTGGGTCACTGTGGCATTCTGTAAATACTCTTTATTTGGTTATTATTAGTTTGCTTAAGAGTTGTTTTTTATTATAAATGGGTACTCATTTTTCTACATTTTTGGCAAAAAATTTTATGAAATATAATAATTCACGTGCTGTAACACCCATTTGGATGTTTTCTATATTCACTCACCATCACTTCCTGTGACTTTTAGGATGCATGGTCAGATATGTATTAACCCAGTGAACTACACTGATTAAAAAAATACTGGCTCACTCTTAATCTTGGTATGATGTTTTCTTTTTATATACAGTCAGCTTTTATTTCCTTATTATAGAATTGCAACTTGCAGTGATCTTATAATAACACCCTGGATATACTTAATATTTAGCAATTAAGAATGTCTTAAATGTTACCACAAAGCTTTATCATTTAAGAAGTATTAAAAGCCTTTGCGAGCATCGTTAGTCCTCAAAATTGCAGGGCAGAGGCAGGAAAAGGTCTGGGGGTCTGAGGCCAGTCCAGTCTACACAGTTGAGCTGCATGTAGGAAAGTGATACCATGTCTCAAAAAAAAAAAAAATTCAAATGGTAGATCTTGGAGCCTACCTCAGAGGGTAACATGCTTGCTTAGCATGTAGAAGGCTCTGGATTCAATCAAGGCTTTAAAAACCACTTGAAAACAAAAACAAACCAAAGAACCACATACAGCTAGAGCCAGAGAGAGCACTCAGTGATTAGGAGCGCCTACTGCTCTGACGGAAGACTTGAGTTTTGGTGCCACCCCAACTCCAGCTTCAGGGAACCTGACAACGCTGCTCTGGGGCACTCGTACCCATTCACATATTTCACCCCACGTTCCCCAGCCACATACACACAAAAATAAATCTTTGAAAACAAAACAAAAAAAAGCAACCCATACAACACACTGAGTGTGGTGGCACACATGTCACAGACTGGGAGGTGGGAGAGAGGAGGACCAGGGATTCAGCATAACCCTTACTTGCTGGAGCCTGCCTGAGCTACAATGAGACAATGCCTCAAAATTACCAAATCAACCAAACAAAAAAGCCAGGTGAATGACTCACATCAATAATTTCTCCCAGAATCCTGGAAAGTTGAGGCAGAAAGACTGTCATGAATTTGAGGCCAGCCTAGAATAAATAGGGAGACAGAAGGAAGGAGGGAGGGAGAAGGGAGAAAGGGAGGGAGAGTAAGAGGGAGGGAGGGAGGAAAGGAGGAAAGGAAGGAAGGGAGGGAGGGAGGGAGGGAGGGAGAGAGGGAAGGAGGGTAGGATGGAGGAAGGGAAGAAGGAGGAAGAGGAAGGAGAAGGGAGGAAGGAAGGGAGGGAGGGTAGGAGGGAGAGAACCAAAAACCAAAAACCCTCACATATGACCTACAGATAAAGAATTACACAGAAACTAAAGAACTAGAAGGTAAATAGCTTCACAACTGGGGGATGTAGTTCAGTAGCAGAACACTTGACCAACATGCATGAGATCTTAAGTTCAATCCCTGACAGAAGCAAGCTAATGAATAAATAATAACAACACTACATACGGTGCTTAGGATAGGGTCATGGCTGCAGCCCAGGGACAGAGTGCTAGCTTGGCCTACCAAGGCCCAGACTTCATCTCCCACAGTACAACAACAAACCAGAATGCTTAAGATTTGCCCCAGGTGCAGCTGAAGGGCCTAAGTAGGCTTCAATGATGTGGTGAGTATTCCTTTTCTAATCTGCATTACAGAAAAAAAAACTGG